GGAGAGGAACCTAATTCAAGACGTGACAAAGACGAGAGGGACTCTACCATATGCGAAGCGGGGCCAAGTGTACTTGCTGATGTTGAAATTATTTGCAGGAAAGAAGCAAAACTCACAAAAAAGGAGGACAGTCAGAAGTACAGTAAATTTTGAAAGCCTCAAAATGTCGTTTATTGCATGATAATTTATTATAAGTTAAACATAATTATTGATCGTCAGTTAACAAATGCCATTGCATTTTCTTTGTTTGGACATATGATCCTTATGTGGGTACAATCAATGTCCCCGATCACACCTGGAAAGTGCGCAACATCATAAATCTTTCTCCTAGTATCTGCCAAGTTTCCATGGAATAACAGGAAATTTCCTTTTTGTTTCGCGATAGCCCTTTAAAACCTTGTGAATTACCTTGCATGCAGCTAATACAGAAACACCAAATAAAACACCAATAACCCGCTCGAAAGCTCCTGTTGCATGAAATCTGAAAGTAATTAGAACTTGCTGCATGGGTGTAAGGGCAGACCTCTCCTTGTTTGATGTTAAAGATCTTTATCCAAAATTCCTACGAGGTCAACGAGCGCGGCCTTTCTAAGGCGAAAATGCAATCGAAATTCTTCGTCAACGTATTCTTCTAAAGGGTTGAATCTTTCCCTAAGGTGCAGAATGTGTCTAACATGTATGTTACGTCGGTTGGCGTAGTCTCTTAACTGTCTGTAGCGCTGTCAGTAGTCCGTCCATTTCAAAATGGCCGACCATGAAAAACCCGTTTAACAACGTTTAAACCTACTTGTGAGCAGGTCTAAATCACTGTTGTTCCTTAGTCGGACAAAGTCTAACACACAGTAATGGAAGAACAACGTTTGAATAATCGATATTCATGGTTTAAACATTGGTTAGACGACGACTTTCATAAACGCTGTCTAAACTTCGTTTAAATAACCGGCCCTGTGTCTTTATGACCAAATAGGGCAATGCCTGAATTAGCCCTATTTTCCCCTAATCGGTGAAGCTAATTTAGGCATTGCCCTATTTAGTCATAAAAGGACATAAAAGGACACAGCTTTGTACTTTGGGTCGGCAAACCGAAAAAAAATTATCTTTCCAAGTTTTCAATACAATTACAAAGAGTCATTCAAATATATATTGGAGCTTCCATAATGAAAACATGCATGCAATTGGGAGTCCGTAAATCACAAGCTTATTTTTATGGTTCATTGAGAGGGTTTCATCGGTTGCTTCGATCAAAATCGCTCAATATACCTAAGAAACGATGCAGCCAGCCAGTGGACACAATAAGTACGACGCCTCACTTGTCTTTATGTTCGGAAAGGTGTTTTCTCTATAATTATTATTATCATTTTTTTTAAAGGCAAGACTTTGTTCAAGTGTATTTCAAAAATGAAGACGCCCACATTTATGAGTAAGCAGAAATTCGTTGTGACTATCTTGATAGCATGGCGTCGCTTTATACCGGAAAAATTGTGCTCGTGAACGGAAGCAGCTTATAAGTAAAAGAGTAAAAGCGATTGAGTATCCCAGAAATAGCACTGAATTACAAACGACGACATCGTAAAAATGAAAAGCCTCAAAGAGGTCACGGCAATCACGTACGGTTGTCGACGGTGAAAGTTTCTTCAACCACATCAATGATTGGGGAGCATCCCAAAAACAGCACTGTATAAGGAATCATGTGGTTTAAGAAACCTGTACGGTTGCCAACGGTGTAGGTTCCTTCAACCACCTTAGTGATTGGCGAGAACGATTGCTACATTATGCATTTAAATTGATTTTATCCCTTGGGACAGAAGGAGGCGCATTGAAACCACACGAGACGATGTTCCGAAGAGATATTAGTTGCGGATTACTTAAAAACATACATATCAAAAAACCTAGGTTATTGGAGAGGAGAAATTGTGTCATCGCATGAGTAGATGTTAGAATTTATTTGCAATTCCCTTTCGGAGGAAGATCAAAGAAAAGGACGCTGCTTGTATCACTGCGGTGCGCAGGTCAGTCGTAAAGGAGCTAGAAGAGACTTAAAGACTACAGGGAAAGAGTGGTTATATTATTATTTATACTCGGAGCTTAGCTTGACGGATTTTACGTGGTGACGTTCAACTTAGCTATCCCGCCCAATTTTTTTTAGTCACCACTGATTACGATGATGCTACTTTCTGGAAATCATGTAAGTTACAGGGTTGCATCATCCAAATTCATTCAACTAACGGGAAACAGAAGCATTTATCAGTACAGAATCCCTTAGAACAGTGGGATCCTGTTTTAGTATCAGTCAAAATTCAGAAGAGGTTCTCGAAATTCAAGAACAGGAATGGTGGGAACCGGTTATCCTTACTAAACAGAGGATGCATTCCTATGTATGACAAAAACTTGACAGTGTCACGGTGTAAATGGTTGCTAGACACGCTTGGACACACGATTCTAGCAACTGAAAATAAATAGAATCACCTACGTTTTGAATCCAGGGATGAACTGTCCTTTAATCCTTCACGCAGTCTAAGGACTGGTCATATGATTTGTCTATCGTAGATCACGAGATGATGTTGTTTCACGCCTTGCGGTCAAGGGATTTTTCCCTATCCCAGCATTCCCCAGAAAAGTGAATGATATCACGCTCTCTACTTAATTTGTTGTAATATACAGACGCAAATACGGATAACTTACTTGCTAATGAGACAACCTTTGAAATTCGGATGCTTCGAACCTTTGGTGAAGTCATCACGCATTGATTGTTGGAGGCTGAGACAAACTAGAAGCATTTGTGATATAATCCTCACCTGACTCTCTATTGTCTCACTAGTGTCTCTTTCATGTCGTTTGCGATCGGGTAGCGTCTGTAAACTATGACTACGTCACATTGATTGATTTACAGATCATGTAAAAATCTAGCATGATCGTTAACATAATTGGGTCCTGTTTAGCTTTGACAGAATGGAGAATCTCGGGCTTTAATGATGTTTTGATTAAATTGGTTTGAAGATTTCGGGGATTCCCCGCGCGCAATGATTCATGACACGACATAAATCGGAAACGTCAGCTCTAAACTTGATATCATCTTTCCATGATTCCCGTGAACTTGGGATGGTCCACATACGTCTCTGAGATTTATTGAAACTGAAAGTGAAACCAAGCGAGAGTGAAGAGAGCAGAAGAAAAAGTAAGAAGGTGAGAATACAGTGGCATTGCCTTCTTGAATAAGTATGCAAATTCATGTTTTTCCCATGTTGACGACAGCGATTTTGATCACCGGGTGAAGACGTTGAAGACCTGTGCAATATGTCATTGCGCATAACTTCATGTCTTGATCACCTTTATCGTAATATTTGGTTCTTCAGATTCTAAGAAGAATGTACATTGAGTCTGTATAGTACATGAATAGTTTTGTTCCCATATTCTTATACTGATATGTGAAACGCATCCAAATTTCCTTTACAGAATGAATGTTTTTAATCCGCTTTTGTGAACGAATAACCACGATCCGTTAAGCGTTTATCACTAGTAGAAACTGAAATCGTTAATATTTTTTTTTTCGGTTTAGATTGAATCCCTAACCACAAGTTATCGAGTTTACGCTTTCAAAGCACTCCATTATTCAGACTATACGAGACAGCTCTGTCGAATTCAGTACCACAATAGTCTTGATTTACATATTTTAAAACGGTTATAATCGCGTGTTTCGAAATGTTGATTGCGCTGGTTTTGTCAAAGGGCTATTACTACAGTTCTGTCTTAATGTAATTAACTGAATCATTTTCAATGATGAAGTAATCTTTTTCCAATCATCTTCCATTATCGCGATACTCTTCATTTTTATTTGCAGGTTTTGAGACAGCTGTAGATAGAATTCATATCGGCATCTTTTTATCATGCAAAAGAAGGCCTCAGAACACTGTATTTTGATTTGTGTACATCAAAGTTTTGCAGATTTTTCATTAATAATTATCTTACCTTGTACCCAATACGATACACAACGTGCAAAAAAATTATAATGAAGTTAAGACTTTAGGCACCCATGCAAACAGATAATGTAAAAATTGTGACACAGAAGAAAGGCAATAAAACAGTTCATACCCCTTCCAGAGACGCGTTGCTGGTCGTAAGGGAAGCAATCAATGCATCCAGGCGGAAAATTTCACTGCTGACTGACAAGTACGATACTTCATTACCATACACCGCAGGGAGCGAAACGGCATCGTAAAAGTTTTTCCTTTATTATTTACTTTTTTAAAAAATCAAAGTTAAATTATACATTCTGGTGATCGGCAATTTGATAAAGGCAATCATTTCGTTTGAGTATATCTCTCAAATGCATTGTTGTTTCGAATCTGAATGGTTGCCCTGATTATATTGTGGTCCCCTACTTGATATTCGCAATGCTGACGAAGCGTGAAGTATTTAAAAACATTAAAAATTCTTCTTTAGGATGATTTTATTTGAAACGATAGCGGTTTCCTTTTCCCGTTATTATGCAAATTATTATCACCATCACCTTTACTTACCTTGGAAGTGTTGACCGACGTTTTACCCTTGGTAGACTTTTCCCGATTTCGGTGATTGGCGAGTATAACAAGAGCGGATATCATTAACTTCTGTTTACAATGTGCGGGGTTTTTCCCTATCCCAGAATGCTCGTCGTCCCGCAAATTACTCGATCGTACACAAGAAGTTGGCTAATATCTTAGGTGTGTTAGTTAAAAAAGGCAAAAAAATAGGTTTCAAAATGTGTATAATGTCCGCTTACTCGATTGGGTGTAAGCAATTGAAATTGTCTTTCACTCAGAGAATTATTTTGTGTGTAGACCGATCGACATTTCAACTGAATCACTCTCGACTTCCGGTTTCATTTTTATCAACTACAATACTGTGTATTCTTTCATTTGCGGCCCGTGGAAGTTTGATGTTTCAACTACGCGAACTAAGAACATCTTTCCCTCTAAGAGGAACTAAACTAACGGATATGTTCTCTGTTTTTAAATTCACAGCGAGAGCGACAAGAATCAACGACGACTTCTTTTCCCGGATACAAGCCACATCTCGTCGGTGTGTATCAAGGAGTAAGACAATTATGCTCACTAGGCAATTTTTTTTCTATGGTGATTGCTATACGTGGGAAGAATGAACATGTTCAGACACATTTAGGCTGGTTTTCGGGCTGAGCTTGAAGTGAAGGTCGCAGTTGTTTGCATTCGTACTTCAGCCCTAAGAACAGCTTTCAGCTTTAATAAGGATTGTTGCGCAGCATTATAAGCGACCTTTAAGTCTTTCTGAACATTGGATGTTATGACTAAAAAGTCTGTTAGGAGCTTATGGCGAATTTTCGTTTTTCCTAGATCCTCCAACATTCTGTCACGCTTGCAGGGAGAATCTTCCATACATAACACCTCTACTACTCGTTTTAAAATAAGGGAGAATCATTGTTGGCTCAACTGATTTTGTCCACCATTTATTCAATTTCCCGCAACCTACCGTTGAATTTGGATTCAGAAAAGATGCCAGGGTATCAACTACCTGATGATGATTTGGAACATATCTCGCCGAAGTACATATGCAAGCACTGCCACTTACTGTTGCGTGACCCAGTGCAAACACCATGTGCACACTTTTATTGTCGAGGCTGTTTCGACCATTTGAAAAGGTAAACCTTAACATATACACCAGGGCCCAGTTTTGCAAGCGCGGATAATACTATCCAATGGATAAATCGCTATCCAGCGGATAAATGTTAAAAAAATGTATTACGCTATCCGTCAGATAGCGATTTATCTAACCACGGCCGGATGTATTCACCAGTGTCACAAAGAATAAGTGTCTGTCTTCTGTTCGATAAATATGCAATTTTCACGAAGCAAGGAAAATTCCATCGCGTAACAAAACTTTGTTTCAGAGACAGAGGCGAAAAAACATCCTCGTGATTGCTTAACGTTGTTCAGTCCGTTTTAAGTGTCACGATAAATAATTTTCATCACATTTGTCTTACTACGATTTCAATAAATTTACATCTTTGACTCTCGCAGGGACGCAGTTTTCAAGTGTAAGATTGATGATGAAGAATTCAGCGCTGCTCAGGTTAGTCAACCTAGGTAGACTGTTAAATTCAAGGAGAGATAATGAGAAAATCATACGAAAATTCTCTGTCGGTGAAAAATTACCATACAACTAAGTTTTAAGTGATAACTTTAAGGCGACGATCTGTAACCTGCGCTCCAGTGGGGAAACAGCTTTTTTTATTGATCAAACGGGATGTACGAGTTCACGGCATGCGTGTCAAATGATTGATCATTTCCACTGGTGGATCCATAGAATATTCCCCGGTACCTGCCTGGTACTTGCTAAAATGAATAGAAGACACGTGGCAAAGAAAACCTCCTAGTTTCGAGAGTGTCAGTGCCCCATTAGTGCTCCGCTTCTTGTTTGGAGATAGTTTCACTCCATTCAATTTAAGCTATTTCCGGAATACTATTATTCACCAAAGTGGAGGTGAATAACATTTGTAGTGTATAGCACACAGGTACCAAAAACTTGGTTTATTCTTTCAATATTCTAAAAATGGTCAGAAATTAAAATTTTTGACGCGCCATTTTGTCTCATCGGTTACTCGGAAGTGAATGGTTAGTAATAGCTATTTACTTCCGAACTGGCCGATCAGCGCGCGCGAAAAGCAGATTTCATTTGTGTGGTTTTTTATAAACAAAAATCCTAAGAATACGTTTCCGAGGCATAAAAATTTTGCCTCCCGTAACTGTCAATGATTTATTTCAATTTTGTATCCATAAATGTCGACTGCATCCGTATTGATTAATAGATAATAAAACGAACAATTTTGCAGATCTTTCCTGATGGATGTGTTAAGAAGGAGATCCAAAGTCTTACGGTGCATTGCTTGCATATCGCCGACGGATGTGAGTGGGAGGGTAAAATATCTGACCAAGAGGTAAGTCAACCGTCCGCACATGGCTGGACTATTGTATTTATAAAAACCTAAGTAAATTTATCACGGAAATAGGGGTGGTAGTAGTTCGTTACTTTGAACTAAATCTCCCCAATTCGCCTGAATCAACCAACACAGGTTAAATTGAAATTGTTTCAGGTCAAAACTTTACCTCTATTACGTCTTTTAGCCTCCTACATATACTACTGCTGGATGTAAATATGTTATTTGTTTGGGTAGATCTGGTCCTAACTTACTCTCTCAAGAATATTGCACGGAAATTCAGATTGTTCTTTTTTCTCACCATCACTCGTATTCGGCATTGCTCTTACGCTTCACTCCTACGGCAGAAGACTCATATGGAGGAGGAAGCTGTGTAACTTTGAAAGGAAAGAAAGGAAGGATATATGGACGGACAAGGGAAGAAAATTCTTTCGCCATCGGTGAAAAAATCTCACTCCTTGTCATTAGTGACTTATAGACCTATAACAGATCTATAGTCCCATGCAGAATCCAGCAAGCTACAATACTTTTTACTTTCCCCAAAGTTAAATTATCACTTTGCCATGTAAGTTAGCTATTAGCTTTTGCAAGGGTACAAAGCCTCCCTCGCCTCGCCATCTAAAAGATACTTCACTCACTGCTTTTAGAAACACCCTAAAAATTGAAGTTAAAAACTACCCTAAATGTCGTAAAAATGAAGAAATAAAATAATGATAATAATAACTAACAAGTACTCCATGAGCGCACGTCGGGTATATGATGGTAAACAGCCAACATGATAGCGCCGAGTTGGCTATAAGCAATCTCGTCGAACTAGCGCAAATGAAATTATTAAATTAGGGTATCACAATATACTGAAGAAGTGTTTTTGTATTTAATTTATAAGAAAGTCCACGTTAGCGACAGTTGGGTAAATTATTTTCCATATGAGGTGATTCAGTATATGAGCCGCTAACCGGAACTACGGATAACTAGAAATGTAATATCCGGAGTTTGAAATCTAATAACTAACAATAATCATGGATTCGCCATAGATTAACTTAACTTACGAACATCGAATGGTGGCATAACTTACAATTCTGGTTTCTAGTTACTCGTTTCCTTCGATCGAATGGTTACAATTTTCTTCATATCTTTTCATGACATCCAGACTAAAGCGAGTCGACCCGCAGGACTTCACTTAACCTGCGGGATTCAAAGCTCACGCATGAAATCGAGGCGAGTGATCAGTCAGTAAGTCCAAGATGGCACTCAAACCCTGAAATCGCACAGCATCCAGAAAGAAGCTACGAATATAGCACGCATTCTCTTGACTTCGAATGCAATAATGATAATGATAATGGTGATAATGATGATTATGATGATAATATCTTAGGAACATTTGGCCAATTGCGACTACCTAGAGATAGACTGTGTCTACAAGGACAAGTGTAAAACGAAGCTGCTGAAAAAAGATTTGGCCCAACATCTGGAAAAGGAATGCAGTCAAAGAAAGGCAGAATGTGAACACTGTCGCCAAGAACTACCTATCTCTGAATTAAAGGTACGATGCATTACTGTCGTCAATAAGGTTATTATTTTTGCTTCATTCCTGTCGCAAGCGTTGTTGCTGATGGCTGTGGTGCTGCTTCTCTCTTTATAATACTTCAACTGTTCTTAAGGTCTACAATAGTAGATACAACTGAAAATCCCTTGCAAATTTAGCTGGTATTATACTTTGGCTTTTATCACGGAGATCCTCTCCGTGCGCTCTGTCTCACAACTCCAATATTTTCTTTGTCATTTCCCTTTCATTCTTCCTTCTTTGGTATTCTCTCTGTCAATGACTTATCGCCTAATTGCGATTGCAGGATCATTACAGGAACACTTGCCAGTCTCTTCCAGTGAAGTGCATCTTCTGTAACAAGAAGGATATCCCTCGAGGAAATATGGAGGCACACCGTGATCCAGAGAATGGAGACTGTGAGGAATCCAAAGTCTTTTGTCCTTTTCGCCTTTTTGGATGCGAAACCACAGAGGTATTTTCAGCAGTATCCTTGGGACGACTGATTTGTTTGTTGTTTGAGGAAATAACTTGTTAGGGATTTATTCTCAGTCCTTTAACCGGTAAACGAAGTTTTTCACTTCTCTCACATGGTACTATTTGTAAGTCTTACAGTCTTGCCTCACATGCACCTACATATGTACTTTATTTCTATAGTTAATTCACACATTAATATTCAGCTAATAGGATGAAAAAGTTATCAGAGGTCATGGTTTTTTTTTTCTCCAAACAATGAAGAATTTAGACTGATTTCCAATGTTCACTGCAAAAGTGATGACTTCAATTCTGGTAAATTCTGATTTCTTGTGGCTAGATGCCCCTCTATCCTGTGCTTGAATGATTGCTCTCAGGTGTAGTTTTTCTTTTCGGTCATTTTTGAGGGTGGGCCTATTGACTTAAGAGGGTCCTCTTCTATTATTTCAGGAGATGAAACGTAGCGAAAGACGCCAGCATGACGAGAATTTGGTGGTCTTTCATCTCGGCCTCCTTCCCTCCTTTGTACTCCGTCTAAGAGACCAGCTTGGATTTTTTGTTAGCGAGATAAAACCCCTAAGAGAGGGTGTGGCTGTTATGGGACGACTGAAGTCCACAGTCTCTCAGCTTGTGTCCCAGGTAACAGCAGTGGTGCGAGAGAATGGGAGCATACAAGATGAACTTCATGATTTAAGATCGCGTTTGATGCACGTGGAGGATACCTTGGTGGAACCCGATTCAGTCCCCACAGGACAGCATGGTTCCCTTGCCGCTCAGTATCAACAGATAACTAATGTGTTAGATGACGTTAAGAGGGCGATCAGCAACATGCAAGGACAGTTTGCAAATCACGAGTTTCTACTCACAGAAGCAAATCAAGCCATACACGAACAAAATAACGAAATTGTCTGGCTCAAAAGACAAGACGAAAGAAACCGAGAACTTTTGAGGCGACTGCAAGCAAAAGTAGACTCAATGGAGGAAGCCACGAGAACGACAAATCTGCCGCCGGTTGCTGCTTTGTCAAGTAACAGAGATCAAGAACCTTACAGTTTCGATGGCGTTCTTCTTTGGAGGATTTCAAATGTCTCAGCCAAGATATATGATTCTTTCAACGAACCAGAGAAGTCCTATTACAGCCCTCCGTTCTACACAAGTCGTCAAGGCTACAAGATGTGCGCGCGCATCTATTTAAATGGCGACGGGACAGGCAAGGGAACGCACATTTCGCTGTTTTTCGTGCTGATGCGTGGCGAATACGACCCACTACTACGCTGGCCATTCCGACAGAAGGTCACCTTCATGTTGTTGGATCAGAATAATGTGGAACATGTGATTGACGCGTTCAGACCTGATCCGAATAGTTCATCCTTCCACCGACCACGAAGAGAAACAAACATCGCCAGCGGTTGTCCCTTGTTCTTTCCGCTGACGGAATTGAACAAACATGCTTATATCAAGGATGAAGTTATGTTCATCAAAGTTATAGTTGACTGCTCTGACCTGTAAAAGGTACATATATTGCCTATGAAAAATTTAGCTGCAGTGAAATGCAAATTTTCAATATGTTGTTTATGTCTTGTTGACATTTATGATTTTGAGAAAAAAATGATACCTTACTGAAGAAAAAAACGTAGAAGTCCTAAGAAGTCGTAGAAGCCTAGAAGTCCTACATTTAAAGGGAGTCAGAGATAAAGCGCAATAGAAACACTAATCTTTTGTAGCTGAATAGTGGGGATTTTGAAAGTTCGTATTCTTTTTTGATTCTTTCCCATTAACCCTTTTAGTAGTTGCCATTAGCAGACTTCCAAGAATTGCTATCTGAGACGATTGAATTCCATTCTTTTATAGACTTGGTGATTTCGACTTTCCTTATATAGCATTCCAACTATTACTTTTGGGAAATTGGCCTTTTTACTTAGGCTACTATTCTTGAAATGTATTTATACATTGGAGGACACTTCAACACTGATGAGCACGAAAGACGATCAAGTAGTAGATTAATTTGCACAGGAACACACGAGAAGCTCAATTACAAGTCATGAAACTTGTAATGCAGAAATGTGCTGATCGTGAAGCAGGCCTTTGCCTCGTAAAAGG